AATGTGTATATATATATATATATATATATATATATATATATATAAACAATCTATATATATATGTAAGGATTTTTTTTAGTTTTTCAAGTTTTATTTTGCAACAAAAATAACATTTATTTAAAAAAAATCGTTGCAAAATTTAACTTGAAACATTAAAACAACTAAAAAAGTAAAAATAAAAATAGTAAAGGTTAGTTAAAAAAAAAAAAAAAGTTTTATATTGCAACAAACAATATTTATTTTAAAAATGGTAAAATAGAAATTGAAAAATATATTAAAAAAGTAAAAAGAAAATGGAATACATTTGAAACATGAAATACATATCAATACATATGAAATACAAAGTTTTTTCAGGTTTTTCTGTATTTTTTCTAAAAAAGTAAAAATAAAAATAGTAAAGGTTAGTTTAAAAAAAAAACAAGTTTTATATTGCAACAAACAATATTTATTTTAAAAATGGTAAAATAGAAATTGAAAAATATATTAAAAAAGTAAAAAGAAAATGGAATACATTTGAAACATGAAATACATATCAATACATATGAAATACAAAGTTTTTTCAGGTTTTTCTGTATTTTTTGTAACAAAAACATTTCAACAAATTGTTGCAAAATAAAACTTAAAAAAATACTATGTAAAAACAAACTTAAAATGCAACATGAGACTGGTAAATTTATATTAAACGTTTTTTTTTTTAAATATTAATATTACCTTTTGGCAGTTTTGTCATGAATCTTTGCCCTTTGTTTCCATTTAAGTTTACCGATGGCATTTTGTGTGCAGTGCTCAATCAGTCCTTTAAAATGAAGCTCCTGGCCCTGACCGCTCCTGTGTTTGACCTTCCGCTATCTGGAGCTGAAATCAGACATCTTGTCCACGCTGTGAAAGAATCTCCCTTAATAAAACCTAGTAAGTATAACAACTAAGTAAAGATAACTAACTAAATCTAAGTAAGGTAAACTATTGGATTTTACAGTGCAGGCAGATTCTTTGAAAATAAACAAAGGGGTAGTGTCCCATTCATATTAAAAAATATAATAAATAAATGTATTCATGGAAAAAATAAAAAAAAATTATTTTTAGAAAAGCCCTTGCAAAGGTATTTTTATATTTTTAATGTTTTTAATACATCTTTCAAGTTTTGTTTTGCAACAAAAATTTACAATATTTTATAACAATAACAGTAGCAATGGTTGCAAAATAATGTTTTTAAAACATTGTTTTATTTTTGTTTATTTTTAAAAAGGTTTTTTCAAGTGTTAACAAATAAATAACATTTATTTTAAAAATTGTTGCAAATTGTTTTTTTTTTAAATACATTTGCAAGGGGTTTTTCAAGTTTTATTTTGCAACAAGAGACTGGTAAATTTATATTAAACGTATTTTTTTAAAAATATTAATATTACCTTTTGGCAGTTTTGTCATGAATCTTTGCGCTTTGTTTCCATTTAAGTTTACCGATGGCATTTTGTGTGCAGTGCTCAATCAGTCCTTTAAAATGAAGCTCCTGGCCCTGACCGCTCCTGTGTTTGACCTTCCGCTATCTGGAGCTGAAATCAGACATCTTGTCCACGCTGTGAAAGAATCTCCCTTTAGGACCCTGCTGTGAATGTGAGCTGATGGCTCTTGTGAAGGCCATTTACAGCCCGTGTAAGGGTGATGTTTTAGACTCACCGTAATCGATAAATGAGTGTGTGTGGGCTTAATGCGCTCCTGTGTAATACTGATTCTGTCGTAGCCCACAGCAAAGCATGTTTTACATGCCAGTCTGCCGATTCCTTTATGAGTGTAAATTGTTATAAAATCAGTGGATTAATGGAGTCTGAAAGAAAGGGGAACATTTGTAGTTATAGAAATGGAGGATAATGTATTGCTCAGAGACTGCTCTTTCAGAGCTCAGGAGATATAATGGACTTCTCAGTTATGTTTCATTTAGGTGTCAACTTTATCTCAGACGTCTCTCCTAAGATTGTTTAGGAGAAGAGACGTAGATCATGCCTCTTTGTTGCATTCATTTGCATCTTTAACAGATCAGAGCACAGTTTGAAACATTGTTTAGATCTTACTGAATCTCTACATTTGCTCTCCATTTACTTTAATTGCTGTTTCATTTGTAATGTTTTCTTTCCTACAAGAACATAGATACATAATGGCATTCTTAAATGCACTTCATTTAAGCATCAACTTTGTCTCAAACCAAAATACTAGACAGAACTCATTTACTCTACTATTTGTTGTTGAAAACAGATGCACTGTTCAATATTTGTGTGAAAGCAGTGATACTTTATTTAATTTTTTTCAAGATTCGATAAGAAGAACAGCATGTGAAATATAAATCTTTTGTAACATTAGAAATGTCTTTATTGTCACCTTTTATCAATTTAATGCATTCTTGCTGAATAAAAGTATTCATTTCTTTCAAAAAAGTTCCCAAACTTGTGTAAGGGAAACAGGTCAATTTAGCTCAAAGGGAATCATTTAAGATTTTAAAGGGAATTTGGACAGAATCACTGTTTTACGGCTGATCACTGAGTCGGCCAGCGATTCATTGCACGAGCCGTTTAACATCAACTCTGCATGGATATTAAAATCCAAAGTATAGTGAAAACACTATTTATTAGCACAGTAACAAGATCGGCAGCTTAAGACATTAACTTGTAAGCACAAAACAAGATACTTCTCTTTTCAATATCAATAAGACTTTATTGGATAAATCTAAGACATATAAACTAGTCTAACACAATATATATATATATATATATATATATATATATATACATGTACAGGCAGTCTCTCTGCCATTCTGTGAAAGTGAGAAAGTGTTCTGTGAGAAGCAGAGGTCAAAAGGGGACTAGAGGGAATTTCAGTCTGGTTCTTGTCTCCTAGGTGGGGGGAAGTCAATCCGAAGAAAGTCTTTAGCTCTGTGATTACTATCATGGATTTACATGAGATGGTCATGCTGTGCATCTCTTTGACCATCAATCTTGGTTACTTGCCCCAAAATTGACAATCTCCTTCCCGAGTTGAAATTATCAACGTGTTATTTTGTGTTAATGTTGAAAGCTGTTTGAAGCTGCTAGTTTGTTAGGCTCACTTCAGACTCGTGGCGCCAGGATTTGATTTATGA